AACGCAAACACTCACTGTTGCAAACGACCTTATAAAATAATTTTGCAAGGGCGAGTTGACGTGTCGATGAGAGTGTGAGCCAGCGTAGTTTCAGGCGGTGGAACGTAACGTGAGAGCTGAGGTCGTTATTTGGTAGGAATGGGATGTTACCAGAGACGAATCGGACACAGGCATTTTGCGCCACCTGGAGGTCACGAGTACGTGTCTTGTCAAGATCTATGAAGACGGTGGACGAGAAGTTTAGTAGTGGGAGTACCAGTGACTTAACCAAAGTCTTGCGGAGAGCGAACGACAAAGACCGGCGATAGAACTTAAGAGAGCTGAGAGAGCCGTAAACCTTCATCACTACGTCTGAGGTGTGTGACTTTCATTGGAGAGAGAGAGAGAGAGATAGAGAGAGAGAGAGAGAGAGAGAGAGAATCGCAACACCGACCTCGCGCACTTTTCTTGCTCCTCTCCGTTGTGCTCCTCAGTCCGTTGCTGTTCTTTGTTGCGGTTGTTGGGTGTGTGTGTGTGTGTGTGTGTGTGTGTGTGTATGTGTAAGTATCGTTGTTACCGGTGTCTGTGTATCTGTTGCTGTTATTGCTGTTATTGCTTCCGTCAATGTTACTGTTGTTATTGTTTTATCTTATCCAGGATTTCCGCATCCGAAAGTTGTCCATAGATGGCCACACGTTGATCAACGTTTAAAAATTTTTCTATATACACATCGGTTGAAACACTTTCTTCTATAATTTCAGCTTTCGCACTGATACCAGCGAAACCTGCTTTTATGAAACCATTCTTAATAGTTTTCTCACTGACTTGTCGCCATGCATCAGGACACATTCTCGTAGCTTGTACAATATTGATCTTCACTCTGCTGTTGTTGAAAGTCACGTGTTCATTCAAAACGTCGTGGATTAAAATTGATCGATAGCAAAACTTGAACGAATTGATGATTCCTTGGTCCATGGGCTTGTTCAACGCTTTTTAGTTCCGAAACCGAACCGTAGGCACTGCAGTTGTCGACAAAAAATAGTACTTTTCTTTTTTGCTGCCCGAACTTTCGATTAATCTTCAGAAGCCACTTTGAAAAAATATCGCAAGTCACCCAGGCTTTTCTGTTCGTTTCGTAATCATAAAGCTTTATTTTGACATTTTTAAAACAACACGAATTGTCAGACTTTCTAATGATGAGTACTGAAAGTTTTTCAGTATTGTCCGAAATATTTTAGAAACTTGAAGAAGCAAACTGGAAGTAAAATTAGTTGCTGAGTAAAAATTGAAAATACACTCTACGGAAAAGTAGTCGAGACTGTTGGTTCTGTATTTGTCTAATTTCCTTTTAAAGAAGCCTTGTAGCTATGTAAATACATATATATCTGTAAAGGGATGCAGCAAAGAACTGCTTTTTTAATAAATAATCCACCTGCTTGGCTCTCTAATAGAGTGTACACCGCTACTTTATTGTATGCATGTAGTTTCGCCTAAGTACGCGTCGTCTTGCGCGCAATGACAAATACATTTGTGAATAACATTTTGGCGCTGGTTTTTGGGAAAAACCTAAAAAAAAATCGGCAGCTCAAATTTTCCTCGCATTTTATGACTGCACTGCAGTTGATATATCGTTAATGTATGAAAACCACCGAACAGTCATCGAAATTGTGGGAAATTTTTTAGAGAAAATTAACAGCTTATTTAGGGTAGGAAATTCGTCAATCAAACAAGTACGCGAAGCTTTGCTTTTTTCGAGCGCGTAATCGTCTATGTTTTGTTCGTAGATCGCGCTAATAGAAGATGTTCTTAATTTCTATTAATTCGAATTCTCATCAAATTATCAGTTTGGAATCATCGCTGCTAAATATTCAAATTATATTTAAATCTTATCTATTTTAACACCAGAAATTTCTTACACATCTGATAATGAAAATTCGAAATTCGTCAGCTATTTGGTCACCAAAATTTTGAATTTTCCGATAATTCAAACTAAAAATTTGAATTATCGGGTGTTTTTTACGTATATGTGTATAGGAATGTTAAGGGATCAATGCATGAGTTCAAATTATCGAAGAATTCGAATTATTGATGTTCGAATTATCGAGGTTCGACTGTATTATAATATCAGAATTATATTTTTTGGTAAAAATTTTTATCAACATTATAACGGGACTTTTGCTCAAGGTATTTCGAACAGAAGCCGAAACAAAAATTAGGTATTATTCGCGGATAAAAATTATATGTAGCGGGCGTTGTTGCTATCCTGTACAATCCTATGCTCCTCTGCATTGGCGCGTCCAGGGTTCAGCTGCTTTAGGTTGCGTCCTTCGTCGAGAGAGAAAAATCGGCCCGCGGAGAGTGACTGAGAGGGAACGAGGCGCGAATTAATAAAGCGAATGACTATTATAAATAGAGCGGGAGTGGTTAGGTAAATAACTCGGCACAAATTTCAAGTAAACAGTAGTTTATATTAGTAAGAGGGAAGTTAATACAAATTTTAGAGTTGTAGAACGTAAACTCGACGCAAATCGGCCAGCGTGCCTGCGTTACATAGGCCAGTGCAACACAAACACTCGTAGATATGCAACCGATAAAAAAGAGTATAGCGCACGCGCCACAAGTGAACCAAACGCGGGCTCACGCCACGTTATGAGCTACCGCCGATAGAAAACGAACTGGCGCGCCGTATACAAATCTGTAAGCTGACATGCTTACTCAGTTGAATTCGCAGGCGAACGATACTCGGCTCGACAAAGCGTCAATACGCGGCACAAAGAAATGATAATATATGCCCGACGCACTAGACGCAGTAGCAAGCGGATCAAATCAAAAATTATACAAAGCGAGCATGAGGAGAGAGAGAGAGCGTAAAATAGAGAGAAAGTCAAGTAACGAGCCAGTACTTACAATGCTGATCGTTCGCTTAATCCTTCAGGATTCGGTAGCGCACTCACTTCGCAGATCTATCTGGCGTATCCGCTTCTCATTAGTAGGCGATCGTTTTAATGTTCTCGCTCGTGTCCTAGTTTATTGCTGCTGATACTGCTAATCGTGCGAGAGGCTGCCTTGTTTCCCTCTCCGCTACAATTCTCCGCGTCGCTCTCCTATCGTTCGTCCTTCTCACGAGGTACGCAGTGATCACCGATTCGAAGTTAATTGTTCTGATCGCGCCTATTCTACCTACTATCGAAGGATTGACACGTCGGTTACTGGTTCACTGACATCTGCGCTGTAAACATCCTATATAAACAAATCAATAGCAATATTACAAATATATTTATTACTGGCTTTGTGGAGGGAGAGAGACATAACGAACTACAAGTCGTTTGTTATAACATAAAACAAGGGAACTGTCATAAAAATATTTTTAGTAATTTTATTTGATTTCAGATGCAAAATATTATTTTCTTATTTTGAAGAAATGGCTGTCACGAAAAACTAAAAATTCATCCCCCATTTCCAAATCCTTTTTTCACGCACACTATTATAATTATGGCTTCTTATATAGAAACTTAAACAAACAAAATTTTTTTCCCCGAATAAATCCAAATCTAATTCAAATTTTCATTTTGAACCCTATTGATATGTCTTAACAAAGAAAGAAATGAAATGAGAGATCTTCGAAAACCAATTAAAAAAATTTTTTCTTGAAAAAATAAACATTTAGCTTTCAAGCATCATTTCCAAACTTATCTATTTTCTTTTCTTTTCTTACAAGAAGAATCTTTTAAATTGAAGACGCTATAAAAAATTGAAATAAAAAAATGTATATTTGTGAAAGTATAAGAATTTATTTAAATTTCAACCCTAATGAAAAATCCTCCTGATTTACATAACTAAAAGTAATGATAGGGATAAAATAAAAGATCCCAAAAACTATTATATACTAAGTTCAATTGAATTTCATGAAAATTTATTAAAGATATTTTGTAACAGGCTGCCGTTTAACTTATTAAACCTGTTTGTTATTTCGGTCAAACGACGCCTTGTTATCTACGTGCCGTAAGCACGTTAACCTACCTTGTCCGGGAGTGCGCCTGCGCAGAGTTCCCTCGCCAATCCGAGTTGGGTTCCCCAACTCGCCACTTGGCGGCGCTGTCGCTCCTGCTTAGCAGCGCTCCTACGGCCGCTGCTGGAAACTAGGTTTGCGATTCGCTTCTACCGGTATCCGCGCGATCCGTGCTATGCTACCGGCTTATTCGAATCGAATGTCAACAAACATGCACCCCGGACAAAGGAAAGACAAAGCAATGACTCGATTTAGAATACGGTTTTTCCCTTTATTCAAATGAATTAAATACACGGGGGATTTGCCGAGAGACTCACGCACGCGAATATATATGACAATACGCCTGGGTGGGAGAGAGAGAGATAATCGCGATCGCCGCAAACTAACCGCTCGCACGCTATAAATAATTTCTCCGCGCGCGCTGCGCCAGATCGCACGCTAACAACAATATATAAGCTGGTGCACCTACCGCGAAATAGATGAGGATACGGTGGCCAACCGTATCCGATATGCAAGTCGCAGATTCGCTGCTCCCCTGCTCGCTACTCTGCCGCTTCTGTTGTTGTTGTTGTTGGTGTTGCTGCTGTGGGTGCGCACGTTGATTCACACGTACACTCCGCACTCCACTCACTTCAACAAAGTCCTCGACTCCCTGGATCTCACTTGTGGAATTTTAACGAGGGGCTCGCACGATATTTCACTGGATGCTGCCAGACTGAGTTACACAGTCATACTGACTACTGAACTCTCCCCTCCCGGTCATTGCCCCTACGCGCCCTCTCTCTCCCTCGAACCGATCGCGGCTATTCCGCTCAGCCGCTTATTAACCTACGCGAGTCGAACGATTTTCGGTAATCGTTGCAATTTCAATTCTTACATATTTAATCACTGCCAGTTAATGAGTTAACTAACTAAATCGGTTATCACTCTAAAAAAATCTTATAAATGTGATAAATGAACTAATTATAAAATAGATTTAAGTACTTTATAACAGTGCCAAACTTATTTTTAGGTATTGAACAAAGCTTCTTTGATTATAAGTAGAACCGAAGGATACATTGGAGTACTAATTGACGATTTGACGATAGGAGGTACAACAGAACCTTACCGAATGTTCACCAGTAGAGCTGAATTTAGAGTAAGCCTTAGACCTGATAATGCTGACGAGCGACTTACTCAAAAAGGCTACAAGATTGGATGTGTATCCACAGAGCGATATGAAAAAACTAAAAATTTAATACAAAAAATTCAAGAAAGCTTGCAACTACTAAAATGCACATCAAAAAAATATCAAGACTGGCAAAAGTTAATAAATTTACGTCCCAATAAAAAAAATCTCCAGAAAACAGCTTTTGATATATTAGCTCATGAAAATGTATTATTTGATGAGATAGCTATGCATATACCTGAACTTTATCATCTAAGACATCACCCTACTTTGGCACACAGAGTAAAGGTCAATAAAATAATTAAAACTAACTCACATTTATGTAAATTGTATTGCAATATATTCACATAGATTTTTCGATAATCTTTGTTGTATTACAGATTGAAGCAAGTTATGCTTACGCAGTTAAAGAGCAAATGCGAGAAGTAGCTGAAATAAGAAAAAATGAAAATATGGTGATACCTAAAGAGATAGATTATAGTAGGTTTGTGCATTGGTTTTAGATTTTAAATTACTATCTATAATTTTGTCAGATAATATAATTGATCTAATAAAAATTTTACAGTGAAGGATTAAACGTCAAAGTAGAAGATCGGAATAAGTTTGTTGAAGCGCAACCACAAACAGTAATTTTTGAAATTTAATCATCATCGAAAAATTATTACATATAAAATTGTTATTGTAATTTAATATTTATTATTTTATTTCAGATTGCTGCAGCATATAACATAGCAGGCATCACACCATCTGCTGTTTTAAGATTGTATTATCACGTAAAGCATATTCAACGACTCAGAGCAAAAATGACATGATTATTTATGCCATTTAATGCAAAATTAAAATAAATTTCTAAATAAAATATTTCATCGCTAAGAAAAAAAGCATTAGCTTTTCGAAATTCTTTTTATTATATATAAACTTATATCAATTGTAGATGACAATAATAAATTATAAATTAAAAAAAATCTTCAATTAATGAACAATCAAAAGATAAAACATTGTATTCAAAAGACAACATTGGATTTCTGGAAATTATCGCATTTAATCCGTTAACGTCCACGGGACGGAATTTTTATGTTTCAGTTCGAATTAATATCACGTAATAAATTCGAATAAGAATAACTTGAAAATAACAGTATCCTATATTTTCGAGGGTGCTATTTCGAATGATGATGGTTAAAATTCAAAATAAAAGTTTCTAACCTCTAAAAAATCTAAAATAAAAAAGAAAACGTGATTTATTGATTTATCATTTTTTTGTCATTGATTCTTCACACCCGATACATTTTATTATCGGTCTAAAACCGATCTAGCTGGTATCCATGATGTCCAACCTAAAAGTTAAGATGGTCTGATTTATTGAAATATTTTTTTATCTATGCAAAATGGTGACCGAAACAAAAAATATGAATTTTCTTTTCTTGGAAACTATAGACATTAGTAAAAAATGTACAGAAATAAAAATGTCTTAGAATTATTCAAGGAATAACTTCAAATTTTTTCAAATCATTTTGAAATAATGTTTAATTTTTCGAAAATTTACAAAACTGAAATTTCGAAAAAGTTAAAAAAACATCTAAGTGGAAAAAATTTGAGAGTATTCTCTGACTAATTCCAAGACATCTTTGTTCCTATTAATTTTCATTTAAAGTCTATATTTTTCGAGAAAAAAGTCGTTAAATTCTAATACAGTATTTGTTATTTCTAAATTTAGTTTAATGCAATTAATTTTGGATCCATTTCAAATCTGTCCTCTAGGTTATTATTTCGATAACTAACGCTGAACTCCACGGTCAACTTCATATAATATTATAACCACTCGGAAAATATAAAAAAATATCTTAGAATAAAATGTAAAATTATGTTATCTTTACACTAACAAGGAAAGGTACCCAACCTGAACTCACCGATTTTGATGTTTTGATATATATTGTAGAACATAAAAAAATAAGAGACCCTTTTTTTTTCATCGGCTAATTTTCACTTTTAAGGGGTAAAACCCTCCCCTAAAGTTAACCCCCAAAAAGGTTTTTTTCAATATCTCGGTTTAAAATTAATATTTTTCAGTGAAACAAATTGGAGGTTATTTCTTATAAAAGAAGCAAGTATTTCATGGTGATTTGAAGAGTAAGGGTAGCATCCCCTATTTTTTAGAGGTTGAAAACATATATTTTTTGGCATAATTTTATAACAAAAAAGTTTAAACCGATTAAAAAAAATTGGAAAAAATGTTTAAATATCCATAATAACAAAATTTAGTTGACGTTTTTCGGTGTTTTAATAAATATTACCCCTAAGGGGGGTAAGCCACTCCTAACACAAAATAACTGTAAATATGTAATTCAATACATAATATTTCGTCGAAAGTTTTTATATAGAGGTTTTCGAGGTCGCTGATTACAAATCTGTTATCAAATTTTGAAAACTTAAAATGGTGGAACCAATATGGCGGACGGAAATATCGAAAAAAAAATTTTATATAATAAAAAAGTTTTAAACGACTAAAAAAATTGGAAAAAATTTGTAAACATCTATAATAAACAAATTAAGCTTTTTGGTTTTTTCATAGATACTACCCCTGTGAGGGGGGGGGGGGGGTAAACCACCCCTAACACAAAATAACTATAAGTATACTTCAATCCATAATATTTTGTAGAAGGTTTGTATTGCAACGATTATCGAAAATCGTTTAGATCCGCGTACCGGATTAAGAGCGAGCGCGTTCGGTTCGCGAGAGAGAGAGAGCGCGTAGGGGCAATGACCGGGAGGGGAGGCTCCGACCGGCAGTATGACTGTGCCACTCAGTCTGTCAGCGTCGCGCTAACCTCCATTCTTCCGCATTTTCGTGAGTTCCTCGTTTTTCCTGGTGACTTTGCGAACTTGAGTGAGTGGGTGCAGTAGCAGCAGCAATAGCAGCCGAAGTAGCAGCAACAGCAGCAACAGCAGTAGCAGCTATAGCAGCAACAGGAGCAACCGCAGCAGCAACGACAACAACAGCAGTAATTTCGGTGGTGCGGCAAGCAGCGAAGCGGCGTTTTAACGATTTGCTAGTCGGATACGGTTGGCCACCGTATCCTCATCGTTCTTGCAGTAGGTGCACCTTTCCCCCTTTCTATTGTTATTACAATTTGCGTGCGAATCCGCGCAGCAAGCGCGAAGAATTTGTTTGTTGCGCGCGAGCGGTTAGTTCGCGGCATCCGTGGTTTTCTCTCTCTCTCATTTACGGCGTGTATTGTCATTCACGCGAGCGTGCGCAAGACTCTCGGCAGATTCCCGGTGTCTTTGATTTTATTAAATAAATCATTCCTTAGTTTCATTTAAACGAGTTTCAGTTATTGTGTCTTTCCTTTGTCCGGAGGTCGCGTCAGTGTTTATTTACAGTGGATTCGAATTCGCCGGTTGCGTAGCACGAATCGTGCGAATACCGATAGACGCGAATCGACAACTTAGGTTCCAGCGGCGGCCGCACGAGCGCTACTAGCAAGGGGCGACAGCGCCGCCAAGCGGTGAGTTGGGGGAACCCAACTCGGAATAGTAAGGAGACTCTGCGCAGGCGCACTCCGAGGCAAGGTAGGTTACTGTGCTTTGAGCACAGAGATAACAAGGCTTCGTCTAGTCGTAATAAAGGCACTTTCAAGGGATTATCGACTAGGCGGCAGCCTGTTACAGTATATAGGGGTTTTCGAGATCGCTCTTTACAAATCTGATATCAGATTTTGAAAATTTAAAATGGCGGAACCAATGCGGTGGACGAAAACGTCGAAAAAAATTTTAACTTTCATAAAAACTTGTTAACAAATGTGTGATCTTTATAGCCTGTACATGTGAACTATTAGCCTAAAGCCCTAAACCCCGAAACAACAAATAGGCTAAATGGCTGTGCTTTTTAACCAAACGACTCCAAACCTCTAACCTCCAGACAGGCTGAAGGCCTATACTTAACCGTAGACACGAGTATAGATATATTACCGATATTTTATTCAATCATTTAACAAATATGTAACAAATACGTCTCGTTTTATGTTTCAATCAAAGATTATTTATTTTTCTGCTTTTATAAATTAGCATGATTTCAAAAGTAATTTCATAAATTATAAAGTATTTCATAAATTTCATAATTATATAATTTTATAAATTCAAAAAGTCCACACTTTTTTGCAAATGAAGAAACATAGGTTAATAAAATTAGTTTATCAACCTCTTTTGCGTTTTGTAATAAATTTTAATGTTGTCAAACTTAGGAGTTCTCCATTGTTACAATTATTTCGTAAGCCAAAAGTTTTTTAGATGAATTCTTAAAGTAATGATTATTCTTTCTATAGTAAAATATTTACAGTCTGGAATTCCATAATAATACTATTTGATACGATTTAATGAATTTATCAAAAAATCTAAATTCAATAATAAATATTCTCATTATTATTATTAGTTTTCATTATCATTGCTATTATCAGTATTACTGTTATTATTGCTATTGCAATTTTTTTTTTACAAGGAGTTGCGGAATCTTTTTTGCAGATTCCCCTTAGTCTGTCTGACTAAGGGGTTATGTGGGACTCCCCAAATAGGCCTACTCACTACACCGCCATCTCCTTGGTGTCCTTCCCTCAGCCAGGGACTATATTGATATTACTTCTGACTGGAGGTTCTGTCTGTGTTCCTCCGTTCGTGTCGTTTCTCCGTGTCTTGTTACGTTGCGTCACTTCGTCTGCTCAGTCATCTGTCAGGCAGCCGTCCGCGTTCTTACGTCTCAGTATGTCCACAGTACTTACAATCGGGTGTTCGTAGTCTGTTCATATTGTAGAGGTACCGTCGGAAGTACCTGTGGCCCGTCAAGAGCTGGGTGACGTAGAAATTTACATCACCAAATTTCCTTCCGAGCCACAGCCTCAAGTCCCGTGTCAATCGTCTCGTCCAGTTACCACCTCGTTCCTCTGTCCACCGGCCTTACCAAATGTCAATTGTCCTGTCACGTTCAGCGATTGCCGCGTTCTTTCGTCCTATGTCCGCGCTGCTCCCGTAGATCCTTTTGCGCTCAAAGGTCAAAAGATCCACGGGTATTACGTCAGCCACCACCAAAACAGCCTGCGCAGAGACTGTTCGGTAGAAGTATGCGATTCGCAGTGCGCCCTGTCTCTGTACCATCATTATCGTCTTACAGTATTTTTTTGTCTTCAGGGAGTCTGCCCATATTTCCGCGCCGTATAGAAGGATCGAGTGAGCTGTCGCCATTAACAGTCGTCGTTTTCCCGATCTCGGTCCCGTCGTATTTACCATCAGGCGACTCAAGGATGCTATCCTCTCTGCCGCTTTCCGTGTTGTTTTCTGTATATGGGTCCAGAAGGTCATCTTCGTATCGAGGGTCACCCCAAGGTACTTGACTTCCCTCTTGGTCTCTATCTCGCATGTCCCTACCCTCATGTGCAGTATCGTCTGTATGCGTCTTCTCGTGAGAAACATCAGTTCCGTTTTTTCCGTTGCGAGTTGTAGTCCGTGGTCTGTCATCCATCGTCCGACTCGTCTCATGGTCTGGTTCAACGCCAGCTGCGCCAGCTCGGGGGACCTCTCCTTAACCACCGCCGCCACGTCATCAGCGTAGGCGACGAGGGTCACTCCGAGCGGCATCCCAAGCCGAAGCAAGCTATCGTATAAGCCATTCAAGAAGTCAGGTCCCAGTATCGACCCCTGTGCCACCCCAGCGGTGACCTGTCTCGTTACTTATCCTTCGATCGTCTCGTACGTTATCCGTCTGTTTGTTAGGTAGTCCTCCACAACCCGAAGCAGATATGGTTGGATCCCGAAGTTGCTTTTCAGCGCCTCCAAGATATCCTCCCACCTGGCTGAATTGAAAGCATTGCTAATGTCAAGCGTCGCCAGAAACACTATAGGTCGCGCAGCGTGGGAGTGTTTTTCTAGTTCTAGGAAAGAATCGACCACCTTTTGGATCGGTCCAATCGTCGATCGACCCCTCCTGAAACCGAACTACAAATCTAATAAACCTCCTCTGGTCTGTATCGCATCCATCAGTCTCGGTCTCAGTAGTTGTTCAAAGA